TTTCATATGCGTAGGTTTTCCGAAGGTTTACCGAGTAAAATACCGTGGTCTGTTTAATAAATATAAAAGGCTTACAGTTTGAGCAGTCTATGATTAAACGGGGATGATTAGTCTCTTAGTCACTTGCACGGGTCGATTATATTAATCGAGAGTCGGCCTCGTGAATGTAGATGCCCGTGAGCCGTGTCCACGCGGCGCCGGCGTGCGATGCGTGGTGAGCTTGAGCTGCCGTTGATGCTGTATCTAAAATGTCCTGGATGATTTGCACTGCTGAGAGTTCACTGCGTGTCCGCACTGAGTCTATTCTTCGATGAGAAAATGAGAAAGTGAGAAAGTGAGAAAATGAGAAAGTCCACAAAAGAGCACTTGATAATTATCCGCACTTCAAGACGCGTGTACTACGTACGGTCGCTATGAGACCAAGAGCGCCGGTAACGTACGTGAAGGCGCGCGGTCGCCTCGCGTCGCGATCGGGCATGCGCGAGCAGCGCTCATGCGGCGCTGCACGATCTGACCCGGCTGATGCTGCCATCACGCCGGGGATGAAATAAACGAGATTCAAATTAATCTCGAACACGTCATTTTGTATTAATTTAATTTGGGTGTTTGGCAAATATGTCTCTATGGTTTTTGTCTGTGTTACCCTTTTGGAGTTGATGATTTTACTTTCTGTAATTAATTTGCAGTTTTCTTTTAGCGTTACCTTTCCTGTATTAACAATGGTATGTTTTGCTTCTTGATAGTTTTTGCATTGTATTGTCATTAGTACGTTTCCAGACGTGGAATATAACCAAGAATTTTTTGTCGGAATCCACATAATTTCGGTCGCTAGGGTGTATTTTTTATTACAGTGCTTATCATTATTATACATGTACATGTCTGTTTCGCAGATTGCGCTAGTGGATAATCTATTTACAATATAATTTCGTTCGCACAGGTATTCCGAATTTATTTTAATACATTCGTGTAAGTTTTCAAGTGTCACATAGGTGTGTTTTTCGGTGTCTATTCCTATCCATTCGTAGTTTACTTCTATCGACGCGAAAATGTTGTCATGACTGTGTACCGGTAATGGTATGACGTGTAGTATTTCGTATGTCGGCGTCGTGGTGAGAGGGAATTGTAGGATAGTGAATATAGTTGCGCCGTCGCAATATGCGGTAATTTTCGTAATTTTTTCTATGTCTAACCATTCTTCCTGTCGTAGGTTAAATGGGAAGTATAGTCCTTGCGGTAAATTTATCGCTGCGTCTTTTAGGTTCGTTATTATGGTTTCGATCGGAATTAACCTAGGGTGTAGTTTTCCTTCCTTAATACATGTTACATAGTCTAATGTGTCCGTCACGTCGCGTGTTAGATCATTGATAATTGCATTGATCAGGGTGCAGTGTTCGTCTAGGTCGTGTCGTCGACTGTGTGTGACCAGTGTACTTTTAACTTTTTCCATTAAGTTTTTTAGGGTGTTTTCATTTTCTTCGATGACTTGTTCCAGGTTGCTGATGTGCCCTATTGTTGCGTTGATTACTCTTAATTGGTACTGTAGGGCGTGTTTTGTCGCTCTGTCTGATTCTTGTAACAGTGATAATTCATTTATTAGCTTGTCGTCATCTGCGTCCATTGTTCCGAATAGCGTTTTTGCAATGACGCCTATTCCGTCTATTAGTCCGCGTCGTTTGTTCGGTGTTTTGTACACTGTCTTTAGTCTGTCGGTCAACTGTTGTAGTCTCTTTTCCCCTTTGCTGATTATGGCGTGGAGATTTTTGCATGTGCTGCTGTGTGCGAGCAGTGTTTCACACGTTGTTTCAGTGCGTTCGACGCATCGCTTTATTTGTTCTAAACGTGTGGTGAACGGGGTGAGGTCGGTTTTTATCACTAGTTTCCAAGTAGCTTCGACGGGATGCATTCTGCCGACCTTTTCGAAATATACTCCTGGCTGCTGGGCGAAGGTGGTTATCTCGTACGGCGGCGCGTCGTTAGATATTGCGACCGTCGCCAGGTAGGCACATATCGTTAGAGTTCTGTAATATAATATTTCGGCTATCGTTACATTAATCTCATTTCGCTGACTGGGTGCTTTTTAGTTGGAGATAGTTTTGTCGTTTGGTTCTTTTCTTCAGTCGAGCGTTAGTTGCGTTACGCTAGTCGTTGAAAAAGTTATATTTTTTGCTGCGTTCGTAATGCATTTCGGCGATCCTCTCCGTACGACTGGGGACGTGTACGAGTCAGTGGTTCTGGAGTGTGACGACGAGATAGCGGAGGAGCCCACTACCTTTATGGAGGTTTTCGCCAGTTTCGGGGATTTTAATATCGGGCTTGACCCTCGGGAGGAGGCCA